TTTTTTTTTTTCTTTTTACGATTATTCGATTAACACGATTTAATGTAACGTAAATGACAGATCTATTAAATTAAATGAACTAATGGAAAACTAATGGAAAAATGAGTAAATTGTTTGCGTGATATCGCCTTGTATCACGTTGCCATACCATAAGCGCGTCCATAAAATTTTGGCGGATGAACAACCGGTTAATTTACTCGATTAATTTAATTTATTCCCAATATTTACTTCGTCCTTCCCTTTAATCCTCGTGGCTATACTTCTTCTTCACTTCACGATCTCTCTCCTCTTCTTTTTCTCTTTCTCTCACGCGCGTTTATCTTATTTCGACGCGGGGCCCGTATTTACACGTGTCTTCCTCGCGCCCCATGGAACTTCACTTTTCATTATACTTGCAAATACGTCATGATCCGTCGCGAATCGATAATTTATTCAGAATTTAGAGTTTATTATACGAGCGCACGCCACATGAAGAACGTTATTAAGAATGACATAATATCGAGGATTCCTGCTAATCATATTTAGAAATCCTTTTTTATACGTCTTTAATTTATCGAAAGAACGTTAACCAAACGTTCGTTCTGATAAAACTACATTACGACATTATATAATCGGTCATAAAAATCTTCGCACGAGTTCGTAATAAAGTTGCCACGTCAAAAATAATCTTTTCATTAGCGAAAATCACTTGGAAGGATAATTGATGAAATCATATTTATTTATCGATGTTACAAAATATTTATCTTTCGGCAAAATATATATATATATATCCGAGTAGTGAAAAAATTACATTCGAAACAATCGATTCGAGGAAAAATGTAATCCGTACAATCCATATATTAAAAAAATTTTTTTCCTCGCTCAGTGAACGTATAAAAAATTTTCGTGATTGATCGACCATTCGAATATTTAATTACCAACGTCGTCCTTGTCCGAACGTTAATTTTGATCGATGTTCTCGAGAGTACGCGTCGAAGAATATTCCACGAGATATTAATTCCCGATCTATCCGCAAAGCGTAATCATTTAAAGAGGAAACGGTTTCGTTTGAGGAAGTTGCGCGTGGTGTCCCCCTCCCCTCTGGAATAAGGGAAGAGAGTCGATGAAAGGGAGAGGGAGGGAGAGAGAGAGAGAACGTAGCCGGCGTCCGCGTAATTAATGCGGCACGATTAAGCACGAAACGACTAGGTTCCGGCGGCGAATCGTGGTTACGTTTTGTTTTAAAAGCCGCAACTCGGATGTTTAGCTCCCTGCTGGGGGCAATCCTGCTCGCTGTGGGGGGTCCTGGCACCCGACCCCCCACACCCCATTCACCTTTAACTCTCCATACAGCCTAGCAACGAGTTTGCATGTTCCACCGTGTCCGTTTGATCGTTCGATTCACCCGTGGAACACACACGTTTTCCTTCTTTTCCTTCTTTAACCATTATTACTCTTGCTCTTTTTTTCTTTTTTTCGTCCATAACCACGACATGGTTGTACGGTTTCTTTTTTTTTACGTTTACGTTACGCAATCGTTCGTTTCGTTTCAATCCTTTCTCGATTAACGAAGAAAGAATTTATTCGTTCGTTTCAAACACACGCGCGTTTCGTTTATTTATTCTTTATTCTTGCCTCTCTCTCTCTCTTCTGTCTCTTGTACTTGTTCTTTCGTTTATATAGGGCTATACGGATTGAATGGAGAGAAATGGTGAAAGAAGGAATTGTTTTTCGAAGATAGGATCAGGGGAAGTCGAGGGATGGAAACTACTTTCTTTCAGGAAGAAGAGAGGGAAAAAGTGGGAGAGATTAGTAGTTAGCAGGATAGAATCTCGTAATCTCACGAGTCATAGAATAGTTTTCTACGTGTTGATCGATCGAATCGATTCCCGAATCGCAAAGTCATCTCGAAATATCCTTCCAACACGCTCCCATTCCCTCTTCCGTGCAATGACGAGGCTGCATCTCGTCGTCGATCGTGTACATGGGAGTGTCTACATCTTTCGGCGGTCCTTTTGATTTCCTAGCTTAACAAAGGAAATAAAAAAAGTGGCGTTTAAAAAAAATATAACCAAAATACGTGTATATTCCGATCTCGAAGTATCTCGAAGGCGAACAATCCTCGAAGGTAATTTGTCGCGTGTCGGTGAGCCTATAAAACTGTCTTTCGAGACAAATTACATTCCGAAATCTTTTTCTCAAACTTGAATCCTGGTATTACGAAACGAACCGCGTACGAGGTTCTTTCTTTTTCTTCTTCCTTTTTTTTTTTTTTTTTTTTCTTCTTTTTGGTAGAGTATCTTCTTCTCCAGAAACGAGCAGATGTTTACGACAAAGCTTGCGGTTATCGAACCAAGTTGGGTTGTCGTCATTACGCTCTGTCACGAGATATATGAAAGCAATTTGTTGGAGTGGAATCGTTTGTCTTCTTCTCGTTTCTGCGAGAGACTTCTCTCGACGATAACGTTGAAATCCAAGTATACATACGCGGGTTTCGTGTTTCAACCACGACATGAAATCGACCCAACAACCGAAAAGGAGACCGCGGAATTAAAGTCCGTTAAAGGAACGAACGGGAGGAAAAAAAGAACGGGGGAAAAGGGGAAAGGAGTGGATGAGAAAAGGGAGGAGAGCTTCCGTTGAACTGATTAGAGCTCGAGTCTTCGAGGAACTTTCGCGATGGAATGCGTTGAAACGCATCACGAACGAGTCGTTTTTTCGATAATTCGATAATCCTGAAAACACCCTTTTCCTATTTAAATGATCGATGTAAGAAATACGAAGAATTGCTCTCTCGTGAAAAGAGGATCAAAAGGGGAATGGGAGACAGAGAATCTAATCTTTTCGTAATTTTTGGTTGGAAAGTGGGCCAAAAGAACGGCAAGTAACGGGTTTACCGATGGCCGGTATTTCGTTTTCGATTATTTCTGAGGGGAAAATAAAGACAAGGGGGCGACAGGTAGGCGAAGGAAGAAAGATACCTCGCAGCGATCTCCTTCGGCTTCCTTCTTCCATCCTCGCCGATATAATGATACACCGCGAGCTTCCTGAAAAAAGGAGGAACGCGTCGCGTTAACCAGAATCCGCACTTGCACGGTTCCCCAACAACTTCCAGAGAAACGAAAGCGGGGGTATATTTGCTTTCCGACCCGGAATCGGATCGATCTCCCGTTTCTCGAAACCGATTCCTCCGATCGTTCCTCTCCCTTCCTCGAACGATATTCCAAAAATAGAAACGGTGGAATAGGTTCGGAAAAGTGATGGTTACCTCCGGTTCGCCTCTTCTCGTCTTATAGCTCGTTGCTGTAAAGACACGAGGGGAAGGAAGAACAAAAAAAAAAAAAAAAAAAAGAAAGAAAGAAAGAAAAAAAATAAAGAATACACGGTGGTTTGGTTACAGGTTTGGTTTCAGAATCGACGCGCAAAGTGGCGGAAACAGGAGAAGGTCGGGCCCCAGGCACCTCCGTACAATCCGTACTTGGGATCGAGTGCGCCTCCAGCGTCGGCGGGCGTCGCGCCGACCTTGCCGAACCCTTTCGCCCACCTGGGCACGTTTGCCCTGCGGAAACCGTTCGACGCGTTTCGTTACCCACCTCTGGGTCACGGGCCGGTCCTCCCCGGTAGTTACACCGCTCATCCCTATCATCGCGCGCCGCCACCTTTGCTACCACCTGGGATGCCCCTGCCTTACACNCGCCCACGGCCACCGTGGGGCTGCCCGACATCGACAGACGAACCAACAGCATCGCCTCCCTCAGACTCAAGGCCAGGGAGTACGAGCTACACCTCGAGATGCTTCGCAAAAACGGGGATCTCATCAGCTGAAGAGTTAGTCATCTTAGATTCTTAACGTTTAGAAAATCCTTCGCTTTTTACCTTACGATCGTGATCTCTTCTCGTCGAAAAAAATCTTTTCGTTATCATCGAGTAGGTAACGATAAAACTGGAGTCGCGAGGGAATAAAAATTTAAGACGTTACGGATATCAACTCGTCGACGACGAATAATTCTTTTCCTTCGTCGTTGTTGAAAAAGGGAAAATGGGGGTACAGTCAGTGTGATGATTATGCATCGACCGATATCAATTGTATGCGCGCCTTCTTAGTAAGTCCGCATATTTTGTATGTTTCGTACAAGATACGAACCAAAGAACTCGCTTCGAAGTGGTTGAACACTTTGTACCGTTAATTGCGTGTACTCGAAGGAAGGTTGAAGAATTGTAGTTATCCTTCTTTCTGTGATCACTTGTGCCTTTGTTACTTAATATATAATACGTTAGAGACACTCTCTGCCTCGATTATTTTTCTCGAATCGCGTATCGACGATCATCGATGGTTAGGAGACGATCGACGTAAATCGTACACGATTTTCGATCGTACGTTTACCGATCGTCTCGATCGATCGATCATCGTTTTACGCAATTCGAAGATTCTCGAGCGACTTTAGGCAACGTGTTTTTTGCGAAAGATTTCTTGCAACTATACACATATACATACACATACACATACACACAGATACACATACACGTACACACACACACACACACTCGTGTAATATATACCAACGATTCCGTGCGTCATGTCCACGTTGACAACTTCGACGACCATTTAAGAAACGCACAATTAGTGTACGAGTTTTTTCAATGGATGTTAGAAGTGTCATTGCTCTTTTGCGTGGATCGTGACCCAATGAATCACTTTGGTGACAGTTTTTACAATGTCGTTCGTTACAAGAGAAACAACGATATACCTGTCCGTGTACAAACGAGTTTCTTTCGGCCTTCCTCTTAATAGAAGAACCTTCCTCGTTTCACAATACGAATTCTGTGCGTTTAAACGATTGCGAGAAAACAAGGAATTAAGCGAATATATTTCTCCGTATACAATTTGTTGTATATAATTTACATTTAAGAGATACGAACGAACTGTAACGAAATATAATACTTACACGTTCGAGTGAAATTTTCGGAATATTTTTCAAATTTGTTATATCCGTCGAAAATTCACGAAATTTCCCGCGGATACATAACACATTTGTCGAAAGAATTATTTATTCGCGAGAAACAGACATGTTGAATTTTCATAGAATTGTTTAGAAAAATTGTAACGAACAACAAATTTTTGTATAAATTTGAAAAAATAATCCGAAAAACACGATCATGAAGGGAATATTGGCGAACCGTGAACCAGCAGAATCGTCTACTATTAATTATTATGTACAATAGGAGAGTATCTTTAAGCAAATATCATCGAAAGATGTCCGTCCACAGAAGGAATTCTTAGCATTGCGATAAAAAATTTGCTCTCGAATAACATTTTTTTAACCGCTGCATAATTTTTATTGTAAATATGAAGAATTTTTCTTATTTAGAGAAAAGAAGAAAAAGAGAAAAAAGAAAAAAAAAATCGAGAAAATGTAACGTTATAAAACGTCAAACGTGAATTGAAAGATTTTTTTTAAACAAAAATCATCATCCGTCGAGATTATTTAATAGATGACCTAATAATAAAAAACGGGGACAGCTCGTGTGATTCGATTACTTTTACACAAACACGTTATACGCAATTTAGATAAGAGAAAGTATTTATATACGGCGTTCATTAATTCTTGGATGTTCATATATTATAAGTTTTACGACTGTATAAGCATATTTAGCGTGTAAGTTGGCTGTAAATAATTAACGACGTATGCGTAACTTTGTTGAAGAGATCTTGCAAGTACATATCCGATTGTGTGCATCGTTTTTGACGACAATATTATGAATGTTTTTCTCGAAAGAACCCTCGCTTTTCAAACGTATTCGTCGATATCACGCGAGAAGAGGGAACGTTA